CTTACTTACTTACTTACTTACTGCCACTGACCTATGAAAGTGACGCTTTGCTGTAGTCTGGGAAAACCTTTGCAGCCGTTTGCGCGTGACTCATTTCTAACTACACAACAGCGTGACAATAATCGTTTGTCCAAAAATACAAGAGTAACGGTGCCTCTGAATATTCAATATATCAATGCGTTGTCCTCATCCATCTGCTTTATGTTGCTCTGCGAGTTTGCCTCAATCCTTGGATAAAAAATCTAATTCATTCTATACTTTGACACATGTATGGGTTATTTTTAATCTCACCAACTCCCAGCTACAGAAGTGGGACCATAATCTCTACAAACAAACAATAAATATACTGTTTTAGAAAAGTTTTAGTTAGATCATTTATCAACTGAAAACTACTCACAGCTCTCTCTACACACACATCTATCTGTCCATTCCTCTCCTTCCTCCAATCATAGCAACTGGACTCAACAATCACACACTATAACCCAATATCATGGTTAAATATCCTACTACAACTGCGACAACAAAATACTACAATAGAAAAATGTATGAAATGTGACGGTAATGATGACAATGGCAATGGCACTAATATTGGCAACAGTGAGTTGGGCAATAAACGATGATGATAACAATATTAATATTGATATTGAATAATTAGAATAATAATAATAACAATAATAATGATAATGATAATGATAATAATAGTAAGGGTAATAATAATAGCGAACACAAATAGCACAGGGCAAGTGGAGAGGGGCCTTTCAATGCGGGTGAACAACACATTTTTTTAACGCAACACTAGCACAGGGGAAAACACAACATAAGTATTGTTATTGTCATTGTTTTCAAATATCTACTTATTTATTCTTTTTGTACGTTGTTTCTTTATTGTTAGTTGCCGTTTGATTGTCATAGTTATTGCATCCTGGTCTATATATGTGAACGAGTATATGTAGGTGTACATGTTTGTATATATTTCTCAGCTTTATATCTCCCACAAGCTCAAACACTTACACACGCACACACACACACACACACACACACACACACACACACACACACACACACACACATACTTACCCTACCCTAACCCCACTAGTACCTTTGTTGTTTATTGTAAGTAAGTAAGTAGTAAGTAAGTATTTATTTATATACCGCCTTTTCACTGCAGATCTGAGTCTCAAAGCGGTTTACAATTGTTAATTTTTTTGGGCATTTGTCTCTCACTCCACACAGAGATGGGAGCGCGGTCGCCAGTACAGGAGGCGCATGCTAGAACTATTGGACATATTTTTAGTGGTAGGGGAAACCGGAGTACCCGGAGGAAACCTACGCAGACACGGGGAGAACATGCAAACTCCACTCAGAAAGGCCCTGGTCCGACCGGGATTCGAACCCAGGACCTTCTTGCTGAGAGGCGAGAGTGCTATCCACTCAGCCACCGTGCCGCCCATTGTACTGTAACTATGTATTTTCCTGTATGCCTAAAAAAAAAAAAACAAAAAAAAAACAGTTTTAGTGAGGTGAGCTGATAGACGGGAGCGGGATCTAAGAACAATACGTGCTGTGGGCTGTAGTAAAGAAAGTGAATTAACATCAAATTAGTTCATAACTGGCTTTTATAACTATTTAATGTTAATTTACAATGCTTTACTATAACATTTCTATAATAATACTCTCACTGTCTAATTACTATGGACATGTTTAGCTTATTTTCTAAAGTAATGGACGCCCTAACAGCAAACAATGTGAGGCTGAAGACCTTTCTGGTCTCATCCCATTAAGTCCGCCCTCTCCTATAGTTCACTCCTCTCCCCCGACACCCCCCGGACACCCCCCGACACGGCGTCCTGTGTGTGAACAATGCAAAGGTGAGCTGCTCTGGGCCTCAGACATTGACCGTCATGCCCTGGCCTACCTCTACACCACCTCTCAGCATCCTTCTTCCACTCACTAATGAGCTCATTAATAAAGCCGCAGTTTGCCAAGTGGTGTGGAACCGGGCCGCAGAGTCCGGGGTCAATACGGCGCATCCGTCATGGCACCGGGGCACCAAACAAATGACTTTATTTGTTTGTTGTCAGGCGATTATTTGATTTTGGAAGCATTCCTTCAAAGTGCTTTGCCGAGATAATATCCCTGGCACAAACCTATTATATTTGTAGTCTCTGCCTGCACTTGAGAGATGATTGTTATTAGCTCTGCCACTCATTTACTTAGGCCGCCGCACAGCTCTTCCCTTATTGATTTGTTAGAGATGGTTCCAGCGTGAAACAGAATGAGAGATAGAGAGAAATGTAACAGGCTCTGTAATGGTCTTCTTCAGGCTCCGGGAGTCTTTTCTGAGGGAAAGGGAAAAGAAAATGTGCTGCAAGAACTTGGAGAAGAAGAAGTTCCTGAACTTTTATCAGCTGCGTGTTTTAACTACGGTAAAGCCTTTTTAAAACCGCTCAGACCTGGACCAAATGATACACGGTTTGTATTTCCCTTTGTGCTGGAGTGACTTTTTAATCATAGACGTAAACACATCACCCCAGTCCTTTCTTCACTACATTGGCTCCAGTTTCGTTTCAAGTTAATTTTAAAATTGTACTTTTTGTTTTTAAAGCCCTCCTGGTCTCGCCCTTTGTACTTGTCCGAACTTTTAACTGTTTGTGACTCAGGCAGATGCTTGAGGTCCTTAACTCAGCTCCTCCTGAAAGAACCCAAGACCAGGTCTAAACCATAGACTGTATATATTAACGGACAGAGTCAGGCCTATCTCTGCCGTTCAAACTAATGGGCCAAAAATGTGCTCTACTGGAGCTATCCAAAATGGCCACGAGTGGTCCCGCCCACAAGAAAATTGTGAAAAAACGCATCTGCGCATGCGTCAGCCGGCGCAGCTCCATTCATTTAAATGAGAGACTTCTAAAGTCCACAGCGACTAAACTAGAGTGGACCAGAACACTCGCTCAGCATTGACACACATGTGGAACGGAGCTTTGGGCCAAGAGACAACTTTTGGTCCATCCTGGAAAGACGTTTTTGAGAGGTCTGCCAATGCTATATGTTAGCATTGGCTAATTCTTATTCTGGGTCCACCCCCACAGGCCCGGGGTGGTATTGCAGCATGTCATGTTTGAGCCGGGACCCGCCCCCACTGGGTGAAACATATGGGGTTGGTCCTTCTCAGTCCTGGACCCAGACTCTGGAGCAAGCTGCCCCCTCACATGCCTGTCCTTATATATTTGGACCTTTTTAAATTGAGGCTCAAAATGTATGTATTCAGACTGGGTTTTAACATTCATTAGCACGGTGACACTTTTGATGCTTTTTAACTGTTTTATTGTTTGAATGCATACGTCTCGAGTGTTGCAAAGGGCCCTATAGATAAGAATGGATTGATTGAACTCGATGGAACGACCTCCTCGGTTCAGGAAAACACAAATCCCCAAATATGTCGTGTTCATGAAAAAAGGTCCAGTCGAATCTGAGCAAAACGTCCAAAAAAGAGGAGGAATTATCTGATATTTGACAGTATCTGATTTGAGCTATTTTTCTATTTTTAGTGCCGGTCCGGTGTTGAATCTCTACATGTCTTTATATAAGAATGGGGCAGGAGTTTATAAGATTATTTTTCTTCATCCTCCATCTGTTTTGTTATATTTTGTTGCATTACCATAAAAAACTGAACAAAATTAATCATAAATAAAAATCTTGCGTTTTTAATATTCTCTATTCCGGGCAAACATATAACATTATTATGACTTTATGCAGACTTATAGTGAGTGCTGCAGGGAACACGTCAGACCGACCGCTGTGACTCCATTTTGGTTTTTTTATTTTCATCCAAACAAAACACTGCGTAAATAATAAGAAAACCACACAATGCTTATGTCGGCATAACATTGACAAATTCTGCTCTCTCCACATTCTTTTTCGACAAAGACGGCAAAACTGAATATTTGAATGATAATGGGCTCCGATCTGGTTCATGTTATTAAAAACCTGTCAATCAAACCGAACTTGGGCCAAACTCTGTCAGGCTCGAGCCGGACTTAACAACTCAACGAGAACGTGTGAATTTTTGTTAAAGTGTGTCACTCTTTAAAACATGAATGTACAATGTTGTTTAATCAAGTTTTCTTATATGTGTGGTTTATGTGAGAGCGACCGGGACAGTTTTATTCTACTAATAACAACAACAAAGGTAGATTTATCGTAATAACTGTGTTCAAGACTAGAATTCATAATTGCACCACCGTATATTTAGATTCAGATTCAGTTTATTCGCCATTTGCAGTAAAAAAAAACCACATTGGAATACATTAGCAAAAAGTCACCAGTGTGCACAGACAAATACAGACATAAAACAACATTAAAAGACAGAAATAAAACAAATAAAACAGTAAACAAATTTCACTGTGAAGTTATAATATGAGTACATTCAATTCCTACATAAACTTTGGGCCATCCTTATCATTTTGTTAATTTGCATAAAGCCTGTATCTCTTTTCACTTTTGAGTTATTAAGAAATTAAGATGTCAAAGTTTAGCTTTGATGAAAAAACCTCTGGTCCTAGAGGTTAAAGTGTTTTCACTGACCGTCTGGAGGATCCAAAAGAGGCCTAGGAGATATCACCTGAGACCAAATTATCCCACTTAAAGCTCTACCAAGAACTCTGTACCCAGTATGGATTCAGATTCAGTTTATTTGCCATTTGCAGTAAAAAAAACCCCACATTGGAATACATTGGCAAAAGTCTCCAGTGTGCACAGAGAAATACAGACATAAAACAACATTAAAAGTACGGAAATAAAACAAATAAAACAGTAAACAAATGTCACTGGGAAATCGATCGACTAAAACAATTTCAAAACAAGTGCAAATAATTAAAGTGCTCTGTTCACACTGATAACAGCCTGTGGATAAAAGCTGGAGCAGGAGCAGGCAAACATTGTGGTTCAGGGCTACTTCATACAGAGGACCAGGCTGATCAAACCCCCACAACAACCAACCTTTATGAAAGCTGTAGGTTCTCTGTCAGGTTCTCTGTGTGGTTCTCTGTGTGGTTCTCTGTGAGGTTCTCTGTGTGGTTCTCTGTGAGGTTCTCTGTGTGGTTCTCTGTGAGGTTCTCTGTGTGGTTCTCTGTCAGGTTCTCTGTGAGGTTCTCTGTGTGGTTCTCTGTCAGGTTCTCTGTGTGGTTCTCTGTCAGGTTCTCTGTGTGGTTCTCTGTGTGGTTCTCTGTGAGGTTCTCTGTCAGGTTCTCTGTGAGGTTCTCTGTGAGGTTCTCTGTGTGGTTCTCTGTGAGGTTCTCTGTCAGGTTCTCTGTGTGGTTCTCTGTGAGGTTCTCTGTCAGGTTCTCTGTCAGGTTCTCTGTCAGGTTCTCTGTGTGGTTCTCTGTGTGGTTCTCTGTCAGGTTCTCTGTGTGGTTCTCTGTGAGGTTCTCTGTGTGGTTCTCTGTGTGGTTCTCTGTCAGGTTCTCTGTCAGGTTCTCTGTCAGGTTCTCTGTCAGGTTCTCTGTGAGGTTCTCTGTGTGGTTCTCTGTGAGGTTCTCTGTCAGGTTCTCTCTGTGGTTCTCTGTGTGGTTCTCTGTGAGGTTCTCTGTCAGGTTCTCTGTCAGGTTCTCTGTCAGGTTCTCTGTGTGGTTCTCTGTGAGGTTCTCTGTCAGGTTCTCTGTGTGGTTCTCTGTCAGGTTCTCTGTGAGGTTCTCTGTCAGGTTCTCTGTCAGGTTCTCTGTGTGGTTCTCTGTGAGGTTCTCTGTCAGGTTCTCTGTGTGGTTCTCTGTCAGGTTCTCTGTGTGGTTCTCTGTGAGGTTCTCTGTGTGGTTCTCTGTGAGGTTCTCTGTGAGGTTCTCTGTCAGGTTCTCTGTGTGGTTCTCTGTGAGGTTCTCTGTCAGGTTCTCTGTGTGGTTCTCTGTGTGGTTCTCTGTCAGGTTCTCTGTGTGGTTCTCTGTGAGATTCTCTGTGAGGTTCTCTGTGTGGTTCTCTGTGTGGTTCTCTGTGAGGTTCTCTGTCAGGTTCTCTGTGAGGTTCTCTGTGTGGTTCTCTGTCAGGTTCTCTGTCAGGTTCTCTCTGAGGTTCTCTGTGAGGTTCTCTGGGTGGTTCTCTGTGAGGTTCTCTGTGTGGTTCTCTGTGTGGTTCTCTGTGAGGTTCTCTGTCAGGTTCTCTGTGTGGTTCTCTGTGAGGTTCTCTGTCACATTCTCTGTCAGGTTCTCTGTGTGGTTCTCTGTCAGGTTCTCTGTCAGGTTCTCTGTGAGGTTCTCTGTGAGGTTCTCTGTGTGGTTCTCTGTGAGGTTCTCTGTCAGGTTCTCTGTGTGGTTCTCTGTGTGGTTCTCTGTGAGGTTCTCTGTCAGGTTCTCTGTGAGGTTCTCTGTGAGGTTCTCTGTGTGGTTCTCTGTGTGGTTCTCTGTGAGGTTCTTTGTCAGGTTCTCTGTGTGGTTCTCTGTGAGGTTCTCTGTCAGGTTCTCTGTCAGGTTCTCTGTCAGGTTCTCTGTGTGGTTCTCTGTCAGGTTCTCTGTGTGGTTCTCTGTGAGGTTCTCTGTGTGGTTCTCTGTGTGGTTCTCTGTGTGGTTCTCTGTGTGGTTCTCTGTCAGGTTCTCTGTCAGGTTCTCTGTCAGGTTCTCTGTGAGGTTCTCTGTGTGGTTCTCTGTGAGGTTCTCTGTCAGGTTCTCTGTCAGGTTCTCTGTGTGGTTCTCTGTGAGGTTCTCTGTCAGGTTCTCTGTGTGGTTCTCTGTCAGGTTCTTTGTGAGGTTCTCTGTCAGGTTCTCTGTCAGGTTCTCTGTGTGGTTCTCTGTGAGGTTCTCTGTCAGGTTCTCTGTGTGGTTCTCTGTCAGGTTCTCTGTGTGGTTCTCTGTGAGGTTCTCTGTGTGGTTCTCTGTGTGGTTCTCTGTGAGGTTCTCTGTGTGGTTCTCTGTGAGGTTCTCTGTCAGGTTCTCTGTGTGGTTCTCTGTGAGGTTCTCTGTCAGGTTCTCTGTGTGGTTCTCTGTGTGGTTCTCTGTCAGGTTCTCTGTGTGGTTCTCTGTGAGGTTCTCTGTCAGGTTCTCTGTCAGGTTCTCTGTCAGGTTCTCTGTGAGGTTCTCTGTGAGGTTCTCTGTGTGGTTCTCTGTGTGGTTCTCTGTGAGGTTCTCTGTGAGGTTCTCTGTGAGGTTCTCTGTGTGGTTCTCTGTGTGGTTCTCTGTGAGGTTCTCTGTGAGGTTCTTTGTGAGGTTCTCTGTGTGGTTCTCTTTGAGGTTCTCTGTGAGGTTCTCTGTGTGGTTCTCTGTCAGGTTCTCTGTCAGGTTCTCTCTGAGGTTCTCTGTGAGGTTCTCTGTGAGGTTCTCTGTCAGGTTCTCTGTGTGGTTCTCTGTGAGGTTCTCTGTCAGGTTCTCTGTGTGGTTCTCTGTGTGGTTCTCTGTGAGGTTCTCTGTGAGGTTCTCTGTCAGGTTCTCTGTGTGGTTCTCTGTGTGGTTCTCTGTGAGGTTCTCTGTGAGGTTCTCTGTGAGGTTCTCTGTCAGCTGAGGTCGAGTTGTTCTAGTTTATGCTTAGTTCTACGGGAAAATGTCTGAGTAGCCCACGTGAAATTTGGTCTTGCAGTACCGAGAATCCCCAGAGCACATGGGTCGTTCAGCTCGAAGATAGTACCGTATCCAGATGTTATTATAGATCCAAAAACCTGAGGGGATTCTGAACATACCGAGAGTAAAATAATGTAAACAACTCAGTGTAATTACGATCAAAGTTTGAGTTTATTCATTAGTAAATCACACAATTACAATGAATAACAGAACCGATACACCTGCAGCCGTCTGAAACCGCCTGCCACGATTGAGGAAAGGACTGGACATTAAATAGAGTAAACAAACACATATGAAACTAGAGTGGCCCTACAGTAACCTTTGTCACATGATTGTCAATCTTGAAGAATAAACATTCCAACACCTAACTTTCTGTCGGAAGCTGTTTTTCTAAAAATGGAAACATTGCTTCCACTTTATTGACTAAAATAGCTGTAACAGCAGAAGTGGGCAAATATCTCACACAACAGATGCTGACTTGTTTGTATTTGATTTGATTTAATCTAAATAAAATGTCATTTATGTAAATGACTGAAACACACTAAACTCATCAGACAGTTTGTGTGTGTCCTGGCACAGATGTGTGTTTGTTTTCTGTGTTTGCATTTGTTTAGTTGTGTCATTGCTTTGAGCCATAGACTGGATTTGTCTGATCATTTGACTCGGAAAAATACATCTGCAAATTCCATGAAGAAATATGATCTGATACTGATCTATGGATATTTGTAGATATCGGGGCTGAGGATTTGCCCGGACAATAAATGGTCGATGTATTTTATTCTAACCGCTTATTCCCACAGGAGGCGTTACAGCCCGTACGCGTTATTTACACTAGTGTTATACATGCGTCTCCCAGTCAAAACACACGTGAAACTGGACTTTTCTAGTGACCCTTGGATTTAGATCACACACACACACACACACACACACACACACACACATATCTAAACATCAGCAGGAGGAGCAGCAGGTTTTACAGTGATTCTGGACATTGTTTTTGTTTCTTTCATAAAATCTGGTGTCTGTCCAAACCAGCAACAGAGACCATGAAGACAAACACATGTGATGGTGTTGCTCTACATCAGTCTCTATACTGTCCTCTACACTGCTCCACAGACGACACAGGGACAGCTTCACTCGGGCTCATTACGTCACGGTAAACTCAGATCCAATGGTTTCAATCTGCAAAAGGAGTTAGCCCCTCCCACCTGTTAACGAAGTAATTGGAGCAAAGTCAGACCTTAATATGAAATGTAATTCGTACTATGGTGTGCTAAGACCAGACTAGACCTAACTCTGCCTCTGTTTTTGTCAGTGTTGCCAACTTGGCGACTTTGTCGCTAGATTTAGCGACTTTTCAGACCCCTATAGCGACTTTTTTTCAAATAAGCGACCAGCAACAAATCTAGCGACTTTTTTTGGTGTTATTGGAGACATATCTGGTGTTTTGGAGACTCTGGCGTGAAGCACGTATTGTTCTGCAGTTACTGTCCTCAACGTGAGCCCCTCCCCCGTCCCAAAGCACTTACAGGCGGCCAGTCTCACAGTAGCCTCGCGCAGCAGTCAGTTAATGTTGTCAAGTTAAAACCGTCTATACAAAAAAATGTTAAACATGTTATTGTTGTTGCAAATTATGTTCATGGTTTACTGTGACTTGTTTTGTCACCAATAAACGGCTTCAACCAGCCTTAAAGTATTAAGTTATAAACGAAAACTAAACAAACCACCCCTCAAAAAAAAAACCTAAGTAACTCTGCCAGAGTGTGTCTTTTGGGTCACTTTGCCGGTCCCAAGCCCGGATAAAGGAGGAGGGTTGGTTGTAGAGCTAGCATTTCACCCTACATAACAATCTTTTGATTACATTTGCTGTTATAACATTTAACAATACAGGACAAAACTGATGTGTGTAATGTGGATCTAGACAAAGCATTAAAATCATTAAATGTTGTTAATGTTGAAATAATTTTTGTACATTTGTAGTTCTAAACATATTTAGGGTGTTTTTTACTCACTTTTGTCTCTCCCACGACGTTATTCCTCTCCTACAGCGTCCGTTACAGTTATTTGCAAATTGCCAATTATGCAAATTAGGCGATGACGTCATTTAGCGACTTCTAGCGACTTTTGGGACAGCCAATAGCTACTTTCCTTACTGAGGAGTTGGCAACACTGGTTTTTGTTTCCGTGTTATTCTATTCTGTACTGAACTGCAGGATGTACATAAGAATGGACAAAACAAACCAACTATGCTTTGGATAATGGCGACGACAACAACCCGATGTATGAGTTTAGGGTCTTTGTGTTTTCTGTGATGGACAAAGGGCAGGGGGGGGGTGGGGTGGTTGGGGGGGGGGGGGTGTTGGAGCGGCTCAGTCAGATCAATGCAGCGAGAGATGAAAACGGTGACATTTACTCTGCAGTGTGCTCCTGGGCAGGAAGCACCTCTGCTCAAAGTCACTCTGTCAGCACTGCTATCCTACAAATGGGTCAGGTTTCATCACAGGAATAAACTTGGTGACACCGAGGCACTGATGAGGCCGGGACATAAATCTGAATTCTGTTGCGTGTGGACCGCCTGCAGCAGAACGGAGAGGTGGCCCCCACGTGCACTCTCTTCAGTCCGCCTTAATTACACATGACAACCAACCAAAATGTCACTGGTCCCTCAATATGGAAATGTCACTATCCGGCTTCAGAGGTGTTCTCTGCAGAGTTTGACTGGAGAATACTTTGGAGCAGTTTAATACAATATTGGATAAACTTAAAGCCACTTCTGCGTCATTTTCACAGTTGTTCGAAATGAAAAGGACAATATTTACCTTCACCATGTTTTTGAATTGTTTTTATAGACTTAGAATCTGACTTATAAATGTCCGTGAGGCTGAGAACTCTGTGTCAATGCTCCATCTTGAAATACAGAGGTTGATAAGGGACAAAAAGGAGTTTGAGCGGGAGTTGGGGACCACTGTCAAAAACTGCTTTTTGTCCTGTGAAGCCACCGTAGTACTGTTGACTACAATGTATCATCTCAGTGCTACATGGGAGTAAAAACTACACTGTGAACCTTTAAAGATATGAAGAAGGATTTTCCCAGATCTCAGGAAAGAACCGCCCTCTTCATTTCTTTAACAAAACTCTGGTCTTTTTGGACGAGCCCGAATCACCAGAATGATTGACAATTAGAAGGACCAAGTCTTATTGTTATTATTTTTTTAAACAATAATTCTCATTGCGTTTTTGGCAGAATGGCAGAAGGTGTTTGGGTCGATGTTTGAGTGAGTTAAGATGCAGTTTGTGAGTTCAGTGCCTGTGTCCTCTGCCCCTGTCCTTTCGACCTCCTTAACCCCCTGAGGCCAATGAGCGACCGGACCATTCTGATAAAGTTTGTGTGAATCCCAGTGCGTCAGAGAAACTGATGCAGCGTCCGAGGAGCGACTGCAGAATACAGTCGCATTTGCAAATACAAGCATTTGCAAATACTTGTTCTTATCTTTTTGTTTTTATTTATTTAATTGTATTGGTGTTCTTTTGCAGTTATACATTAATCAATAGGCGTTTTACAGTCAGTATGACCACAGTTATAAAAAATAAAAAATAAAATACCATGAAAGGAGAAATGAAGCAAAAATAAATATACAGTTAATTTAAAAAAAATACAAAATAAATAAAGAAAATATAAAAAATAAAAATTAAAGTAAATAAATAAATATACATAAAAAAAAAACACAAATACCTGATAATAAGAAATAATAATAATGAAGAAGGCAGCGGGGCTACACTGTTAGCTCTGTATAACATTACTTGCCGTTTTTAATGCCTGTTCTTATCATGTACTTTTTACTTTCATTAAACCACACAAAATGCAACTGTTTCCATGGAGCATTAACTCATTGAATGCTATACATAGTTCCCACATGACGTCACTACATACGGGGATTTGCCGACCCGGCGACATTTGTGTTGGCATGCTGTGGGCTCAACAATAGAAAAAGAAGCTGAAACGTGTTAATGTCGTGATAAAGTTGAAAATGGTCATCTCCTGCTGGGTCAATGGATGTTCAAATCGTGCCGGAGGTTCCGTTAAACTTGGATTTTACAGTATACCCATCATTAGACTTCATGAATGTGAGAAGACTAAGCTTTTGTCAGAACAACCACGGAGGTTATGGCTTGCGAAGATAAACAGGCAAGAAACTCCCTCAAAACACGCAAGAATATGCTCGGAGCACTTTGTGTCAGGTGCGTATCGTATCTTATAATGTGTTGACAGACGTAATTTACTCAGTACTAACTTGTGTATGCTGATAGCTGGTAACTTGAGAGTTTCATTATTTAGATTACTTTATTATGAGGAGGATCGGTGTCGCGTCCGAGGCTCTCGAGGGCAACGTAAATGTATTAAATAGATAATAATAGTTCTATGGTGGGCTAAAACAATGTTCACAAACAGCATTGCTTCTGTAAAAAGATCTGTGTCATAAAATAAACTGCTCTTTACGCCTGGAAAAATCAGTTGCCCACCATTCACCAAAACATACGGTCAAAAACGCGGAAATAAACAATAACAGCAATCCAGAGTGTCCGTGTGGCATTAGCATTAATTAAATTAATTGTTAATATAATTAAAATAATTAAATGGAGCTCCAACTGGTATTAAATCTAAAGTTTTTGAGAAATGTTTGCATTGCTTGTTAATTTTTGCTGCATAATTTGATCAAATATGTAACACATGTCCGTAGCACGTTAAACTGTGGTGCCATTGTATTAATATACAATTATTTGCTCAAAAGTTGCCCTTTTTTTCCAATTTGCGTTTGAATATCTACATTTATTCTCATTCTTCTGTTTAATGGAATGCACAAACACAGCAGCGTGCCATCAAAGATGGCGTCTCCGAGGAGGTCATGTGACATTCATTGGTCTGTGGGAACTATGTATAGACGTATTTTTTGCAATACTGGTGATTTCTGTCAAACTTCCCTGTATTCTCCTGGGGATTACAGAACAACAAAACTAGTGAGACAACAACATATTTTTGCAGATGAAAGTAGACTGTCCAATCTTTCAGAATCTGGTTCCATATTTCCCATGGTCATAGCACACAATATTCTGTGGGTCTTGAAAGTGAGCTGGCAGTCAATGAGTTAAGGACATTTCCACAACACTGTAAACACACTCACACAAACATACCTACACTCACACAAAAACAATAGAAAAAAACAACCAAAAACAATAGTCTTGATGATCCGCCCGGATGTAGAGTCTCCTTTCTGCCTTATAAACGAGACTTGTGCGTAATCTTGTATCATCCGACCCTTTCACTTCAGATCGTCCTGGTCCTACCGTCACATCCTTTCTCCACTCCAGGATGTAGGTCAATCCTTCCTGGAGGATCACTCACACATTTCTTTCCTTAGTCTTATACAAAACGTGAAAAGCTGCTTTAATTTCATTGTACACCCTTCCTTGTGGCAGGTGGAATGGTTTTCCAGTTGCATGATGGGCGGTTGTACATTGTAAGTGCATTAATGTGTAAGCGTAGGCGGACTTCACCTCAGGCCTCGGCACGTATCAAACATGGATGGACCCACTTCTGTCCTGTCTCCTCAGTTTAACTACCATGTGGACCGGTATAAACACCAGGGTAGGGCTGTTTACTGCTATAGTGCATTAAAGGAGCTATACCCGTTTCTGTAAGGTTTGAATGTTTAGCACCAGCTCCCAACTCACTCACAGGCTTCTCACTAAGCGAAGCCTTCTAGTTGTATTTAGTAGTAATCTTTATTTATATACCGCCTTTTCACTGCAGATCTGAGTCTCAAAGCGGTTTACAATTGTTAATTTTGGGCATTTGTCTCTCACTCTCTCACTGTAGATAGTCCGAGCGTAGATAGTCCGAGCGCAGATAGTCCGAGCGTAGATAGTCCGAGCGTAGATAGTCCGAGCGCAGATAGTCCGAGCGTAGATAGTCCGAGCGTAGATAGTCCGAGCGTAGATAGTCCGAGGCGGTCCCGCAGGTCTCTCCCATAGACCAGTCTCTGTAGACCAGATGTAAGCTAGCTCTGTTCAGGGCTTGGTTTCTTCTTTGATCATGTTGTGGCTTTAGTTCCTCTTCTCTTCCTCACTGTTGTGTGGTTTGGGCTGTTTTGCTGTGTCTGCAGTTACAGCCAGAGGAGTTATAGCCACTTATGCTAACATGCTAACATGCTACTGTGTTTAGCAGCGCTGTAGAGGCTAGAGGACGCAGCCTCGTTCTGTGATTGGAGGAGAGCGGCCATCACGCTAAGTCTCTACTCAGCACTTTTTACGCCTGAATTCATACACAGCTGAATCAATGAGCTCAAGTTTTACATTAAATTACGAATTACGAACTTGTATGTAGTCATAAGCACTTTTATGAACTCATTTGAAAATAAATCGGGTAGAGCATCTTTAATCATGTGTATGGTTAATATTTAAGCTAACCGGAGCATTTTAAATAAGAGTTTTATCCGTACAAAGAAAGATGTATTGTCATTATTGAATATTTGAAACATAACACAGCTGTTTCTCAAATGGGGTTAAACATTCTCCGTCAGGTATATTCTTTTCTCTAAGTGAGGTTTGCAAACTATAACATCAACAACTGTGTATGCTAGCGGGCGTGCTGCTGTGCCGTGTGTTCTCATATTGACGAGTACAACTAACTCACATCTTCTCCTTTCTTTCATGCTCCTGGACATCTTTCTGCTCTTAGGTAAGAATTCAAAAATACAATTTATACATAACATGGTTTTTTCTTGTCATCTTTCTTCTGTGTTTAAGAGACACATGCTTTCTTTGTTAAAATCATAGACTGTAAATATTGACAGATCCCTTCTATCTCCGCCGTTGAAACTAATGTGGCATCACGTTTGCCTTCTGTGGCTTTTTCAAAATGGCCGCCGGGCAGAAGAATGTGAAAAAACACCTTTGCGAATGCGTCAGCTGCACTAGCCCCAATCATTTAACGAGTGCATTCAAAAGTCGACAGCGGCTAAACTAGACTGGTCCAAAAAAAAGACACCCCTCAGCATCCACAGAATCTGGAACCAGTTGGACCAGTTCCCAAGAGCGACTTTTGGACCGTCCTAAAAGACGTTTACCATAGTAAATAAGACTCCATACAAAAGCATTGGGTAATTCTGTTTCCGGGTACACCCCCACAGGCAAGAAGTGAGACTGCAGCATGTCAGCGCACGTCCACATGGGCCTTTTGGAGCCGGAACCTGCTCACACCGGTGAAAATCCACTTCTCTTTCCACTCTCTTTGTATTTCCCTGATTAGCAGCACCTGACTTGGAGATTGGACTCTCCATCTCAGTAATAGGGTCCTGGGTTCGAATCCCGCTTGGAACAGGGCCTTGGAGTGGAGTTTCCATGTTCTCCCCGTGTCTGTTTAGGTTTCCTCCGCGTGCTCCAGTTAGCCCTACCACTAAAACATGCACAATAAGTGTGAACGAGTGAGTGGATGGTGAAAAATGTCTCAACTCTGAACATTGTAAAGCATTTTGTGCTAACTTTGGTCTGTAAAAATCAAAAAATGCGCTATATAAAAAAATATTACTTACTTTGCGGCTGTGGGACATGTTGCTGTTGTTTTTCCTGCAGACTGATGGAGGAAATGATGAAGCAGGTCGATCATTTCCACATGATGTTGGGGTCAAAGGCACTATAAAACCCTGAGTCCCAGAGCATAGGAGATGGACCAGCAAGATATAGGCTGGGGATGGCTGACAATCTCGGCCTGAGGCGTGATTAATGGCTGCTGTGATTGGCTGAGACAGGGCCAGCTGATGCGGTGGGGGGAGATGGTGGAAGTGTTCTCGGAAGAACGTTTTTAAACAGCTGGTGTCCTCCCGTGGGAGAGACGGTGTGTGTGTGTCAGCACTGAGCAATATAGCGCTGAGCCGCCGCTGAGCCGCCGCTGAGCTCTACGTCTCTTTCTCTTTGGTGACGCCGCTTTTCTCCCCCTTTCTCCCCTGTCATTGGCTTTTCCCGCTCTCATTGTAAGTTATCCAGCTTAAAGGCTGCAGTGTTACAACAAAGACATTCATCTAGTAATAAAAATGAGAAGTGGTGAGCACTTGAAGTGAGTTTCAATGTTTTCTTTTACTTTGATTTGTAAAGATGATTAATTCTTGTCCAGTCACCTGTTCTGTAGTGAAAGGATATTAAAGGTGTTGACACTGAAACAGGTTTTATTAGAACAAGGTTTCTTCAACACATGTTGGTGGTAGTCAGAGTGATTCCTGGTGCTCTCAGTTGCACTGTCCCAGGACCATTGGACGTCCCTGTTCACCTTTACCTGCCTCGCTGCGTTAGACCCGTCTGCTCTTCCCTCGGCTTTATTCAGACATGTGGGTTTTCTTCCCTGTGCACAGTTTTTTCTCTATTCAAATGCAAATGGCATGGACCAATTATGGCTCAGCGTGCGGCTATGTCTGTGTTTGCAAGAGCACATTCAAAGGCACATTGTGTCGTGGGAGATTTGGGTTAGAAAGCGTAGCATTCCCTCTGGAGCTGCCAGCGGCAGATAAATTAGGACCTCAGGCTCACAAAAGCAAAATAAATCATAATATTGCAAGCAGCATTGACCCATATTTGGTAATGTGGGTGCTCATTGCTTGCTATTGTAAATGAGTATGTATGAAGAACTGGCTTTAGTTCATGGCTGAGCGCAGAAGCCTCTGTGCGCTTCTTTGTGAAGGTCCGTGTATCGGCAATTACAGCATTCACACAAATCTATTAGTGTGTAAGCGCCTCCGCATTGGTGCTTTCTTATCATGTTTATGGGACTCTGTGGAACAGCTGGTAATAGGATTACATATAAATATATACTGTATGAGTGTGTATATATATAAATATTACATATAGTAATGGTCCACCTTCAGTTTAGATACTTTCTTACATTTCTGATCAAACTTTTCACTTGTCCTTTTATAGTAAAGTGATATATTTTAGGATTTACGGTCGACGGCAGAATGCAGTGTCATACCAGAGCTAGATGGTGATTTATGGCTACAAGGGCTTCCCCTTTGTCCCCTGACATGATGGATGGCTGTGATGTCACACCATGTCCAGGCTCGGTGGCGCTCTCTGCCAAAGGGCCATGTTGCTGTCTGCTATTTTTCACCATCTACTTAGTGTGCCCTGAGAGGAACCTGTGCACCATATGTGCATCACTGTGGGATCTGGACTAAAACCATTAACCTGGAGTTCGGACAAGCTCAGCCCGGACCTCTCAGCCTCTGCCCAGTGAAACAAATGTTTCCCAATATGTGCTCTCTGTCCGGAACCTGAGCTCGGGACTCGATCAAACAAATAATCATATTTTATTTCATGTATATATTCTTTTACATGAGCTTAAGCAACAAACATGTTTTGGTCTTTATTTAGTCCAACAGAGCAGTGCAACTGTTTCCATTGAATAGCAAAAGCCTTTTTTAGAAATATAACACATTTTCCCTGCACTTGTCTTCTACCCTCCACACGGTCTAAAGTCAAAGTTTTGTTTTTAATGAACAGAGATGTTGAAAAAGGAGAAATGCAACTTTATTGTCTTAAGAATAATGTCAGTTACTTCTCAGATTGTGTGAAACTTAACGACATGCACTGGTTAGACTCTTGATGACTCCAAACTCATTAGATCTTTGAAGTCGCTGGTCACTATTGTCCTTTAAAGGGGAAGGATATGTTTGAATATAACTTGGTTGAACATTACTCACTGCACACGATGGTACAGTGTCCCATGGTCTATAAGCTGCTTTTTTTAAAAACCATCTTTGTCTTGAGTTTACTCTGAAAAATATAATCGGTGAAAATGCATATTTGTGAAAACTGCTCAGAGAACACCTTACCGTGCACACTCTGTATTTTCTATTTTCATGGACTGGCTCAAAGCAGTGCTTTGGACGAACACTCAAATCTAACCTGAATGTTCATGA